CGTTGCCGTTAGCCGGATGCTGATAGTTGCAATACCAATCTCAGCCAGGTTTATACCATTTCTTGCCTTGAGTAGCACATCGGCATACGTCACCCCCGCTCCACCGCCTCCCTCCGCAATGTGATGACCACTGCGGAAGTTTTCGGCGGAGTGAGCGAAGGCTGCACCCTGACAGACCTCTCTATAACTGCCACTCGCCCAGCCGAGGGCCCTGCGCCGCGACTCACTCCATGGTCCTCTGACCGGCCAACACGGCCACTTCCCCCACTCACAGGGGGAAGGACCGGCACAGCGGGAGAACCACCCTTCTTTCCCTTACCCTTCTTTTTGCTGACGGTCGCCCAGCTTCCGTCACTAGGACCCCCAGAGACCCGGGGCCCCGAAAGACCTGGGGCCTCCGGGACTCTGCTCCCCTCTAAATCTTCGGGACCCTGGGTCCCCACCACATTCGGAGCCACCGTGCCCCGACCCCCCAACGAACCCTCACGGGTGCTTGAGCCCAGGGGCCCTGCGAAATTCGGGGCCACCGGCCCCCCTCTCCACAAAACGCTCAGGGGCTCCCGGACCACGGGCCGATGCCGCCAGCGGAGGACGCAGCACAGGCTCAGGGAGGAGCCTGTCCCCAATCCCCGCAAGCTTGGCATCTAGCATGCCCCCAACAGCCCGCATCACCTCCCCCATTAGGCTCTCCTTCACCCCATCCAACAGCCCCTCCATCATTTGACGGAGGGCATCTGGAGTGGAGGGACCCTCCACCGACACGGGGTGTCCCTTTGTCTGCGCTAAGTGCGCAGTGCGCTCATTGAACTCCCTCCTAAGGGCCGCAAGCTCCAGACCAAGGTCTTTTACCTGGGCCCTCAGGCGAACATTGTCCCTTAGGAGACGCCTCCCCTCATCCCCTCCCAGGCATCTCTCCGCGAGATCCTCCACGATCTCATTCACCTCCTTGGCCGCAACCTTTAGGTCGCGGACGAACTCACCCTTGAGGTTGCCCGACTTCGCCGCAATTTCAAAAATGCGACGAACCCGCACAGCCGTCCGCTCCTTTATCTCAGGAATGCCAAGGAGAATAACATCGTCCAACTCCTCCTCCCCGGATGACCTCACAATCCTGATATCCACACAGGTGGGAGCCCCATAATCGGAGAGATTCCCCGCACCTTCTAACCTCTCTGCAAGGCGAGAGCAAGCGTTCTGACGCCGCAACTCTCCCTCCGCCTCCTCCAACCCTACCACATGAGAAGCCGCCTTTTTCGGCTTACCCTTGGCCGGTGGAGAGCAAGTTTCCTTGTTGTTGCCAACCGGGCTTTTAGTATGCGCCCGCTTCCTCTCACCGGAGCACTCCACGATACCCACATCGTCGTCGCTATCCGAGGACGACGAAAACACCAACCCTTTAGCTCGCCTCATATTAAGGTGCTACTATATCCTACCCCCAACTAACATTAGAGTCGACGACTCAACCCCCTACCCAATAAATATATAAATAAATAAATATATAAATGAATAAAGAACTGAGTACAATACACCACACACACAAATACAATCCTAATTCTAAAATCTTAATTCTAAATAATTAAAACTAAAATTTATTGTTCCAATCCACTTCGGTGTGACGAAATCCAATCTTCGGACGCCCACTCACTTCGGTGTGAGAGACGTCCAACCTTCAGCTGTCCACCAAGCTTGTCAACAACAAGATGGCGGACCAACGCGTCACGGAAAAAACCCCAACCTTGGCCCCAAACTTGTAAACAACAAGATGGCGGACCGAAGCTTCACTAACTTGCCCGACCTTGGCACCCAACTAGTAAACAAGATGGCGGGCCGACAATTCACTTTCAATTATTCACAAATAATTTCCACCTTTTCCTCCAATCTCGATGAGCGTCAACTCAAACAGCTCGCCTCCAGAAGATAGAGATGATAGTAATACTATCTTCGCAGATGCACCTCCCGCCAAAAGGCAAACCAACAATGTAGCTCTCAAGCAATTTAAATTATAATGGCCAAACTAATGGGCCAAAAATAAAAATTGATAAACTCACAGTTGCACCTTAATCCAGTTCACAATTAGGACACATAAAATTTATGTGTCGTCGCGACACATAAAAAGATACCACAAAAACTAACTTCGGGTCAATTTCCCACTCACTTTTGTGCCTTGCAGTTAATTAAGTACTTAACATACAAAGAGCACACACACATATAAAGAATCAGTGATTACTACTGAATCCTTTAACACAACTCAAAAGATTTTCCGCCACTAAAAACCCACCATGAGATTTTTCAAACGCGGAGCGAACGAAAAACACAGTGATCGCTACGACGGCTCGACGCGTACTAAAAAGGAATGTTCAATTACTCAACCACTTTGTAATTGCCATCCTCACACAGGAGTATCGATATAGTTTTTGGTGCCCACTGCACAAACTATAGAATCTCAACTGTGCCCACTATGTACGGTTTAAACACTCGCCCGGCACCGTACAGCCCTACCAAAGGCCGAGAATAAATATAAATTTACACTCGGACCGGGAATCGAACCCGGAACCTCACACCCACCACGGTCACATACAAAGCCGTTTGGCTATGAGGCCCTTAACCTAACCTAACCTAACCTAACCTAACCTAACCTAACCTAACCTAACCTAACCTAACCTAACCTAACCTAACCAGTCGCAGTCGAGCCGCGGACGTGAACGGTCACGAAACAGCTAGCTCCGCCTTCAAAAAATCCGATTAATAGTATTTTTATCGCAAACTAAAGAGTGCTATATATCATCCTGTGCGTCTTGCGACGGCGATATCGGATATATATACATTATAAGTGAAAAGTTCAAAAACAGTGGAGAAAAGTGCAAAAAACCCCTAAAATATAAAATTTTCTGTGAAAAAGTGAGTGCGGTGCGCGATCTAGATCTGTAACCCTACCCGTTCTTTGCATCGTTGGATGCGTCTCAACGAGCTGCATCTTTTGACGCATCATTTGGATTTTTCCGCTAAAAGGTACGACAGAAAATTGAATAAAATAAAAAAGGGGCGTGACCACAAGTCGGCGAAATAGGGCCGCCCCCCAAAAGACCAATATATCAAACGACGCGTCTTGAGGAGACGAGAAGATTGACGTATCGTTGTAAAAAATCGGCTCAGAGGGAAAAATTTTAAAAAGCAAAATCATACATAACCTTAGAAAAAATTACTTTTAATTAAATAACTAAAAAACTAAAGCGGCGACCCCAAAATTAAAAATCACATTCAGATAGAGCACAAAAAGACGCGTCTTTTGAGGGGTCGCACGGATTTTTCCGGTCACGAACCAAAGAGCAACAAAGAAGAAACCGCAAAACCACGTGGCACGTGGTCGGTGTTCCCGTGGGATAAAGAAGACGTGCGACACATCATTCGATAGCTCTTGTCGAGTTCTACAAGAAACCATTTCAAAAACTGAAATCGACCCAGCAGCTGAAGAGAAAAGTCGACGGGAATAGTTTCATCAAAAAACCGGGAATAACTCGGGAACGGTAGGAGATAGGGCTTTTTTAACGTCACCCCAGTATATGGATATATATCCATATCCTGGTAATGATTGCGGGGCTTAGTTTTATAATATAACATTTTAAAAATTTCGAAAACTCAAAATTTGCAAATATCCTGAAAATTCGAAAAAAAAAAAAAAATTCAAAATCGGAAATCTTTAAACCCCCGTATCTCAAAAACGGTGCTGTTTTCGGGATTTTTGACGGCAGACTTGTATACATATGTATACAAGCCTTGTTCCAACTGATTAGATAAATATTTAGGCAAAAATTTCCCCCCAAGAATTCACCCCGCAACCTCCCCCCTCTCGCCGTTCTCGAGTATTTCATAAGAATAACTAAATTTTGTAAATTTAATTAGGACAATACAACCCTGCGAAGCGATTTACGCCTTAAAAACCTAATAGTATAATAGATATTCCACTTTTATTAAAGCCTTTCCTTAGAACCCCCATCCCCACCTCTTTTTCAAAATTATTTTTCCCCTAGTTAAAATAGGTAAAGAAAATATTACAGCTGAGAGAAAACCGCGACGAAATCGGAGCAAGGACACCGGAGTTAGAGGCGTTTTTCATATTGACGGCCATTTTGTCCGCCATCTTGAAAATTTAAAAATTTGATATCTCTGGAACGAGTTGTCCGATTTCGGCGAGACTCTCAACTTTTAAAAGGCCAGACTTCGCTCCGCAGGATAGATTTTAAAAATTGTAAAAAAGTAGAGTCGACTCTACAAACCCAGTTTTCTCACTTGACAAGTCGGGCGTAGGGCGCTTATCACGACTGTGAAAACCGCACCTTCCTCCGGCAAAATCTTACAGAGATACGACAATTTTACATATTGGCGGCCATTTTGTCCGCCATCTTGAATAATTTAAAAACGCTATATCTCGGTAACTACTGAACCGATTTTAGTACAAGACATATCAAACAAAAGGGCTAAAGAAGCCCAATTGGACTGGGTGGTAGAGACAACTCTACATAGAGTCGGGAAAAAATTTTCTGTGACAACCGGCTCAAAATTAGAATAAGTTGACGGCTGCCACCCTATTGGGGACAGACCTTAGGTTAAGTTTAGAAATTTGACATTTTGACGGCTGCCACCCTATTGGGGACAGACCTTAGGATAAGTTTTAAACAATTTTTGACAAATTGACGGCTGCCACCCTTTTGGGGACAGACCCTAATATTAAGTTAATATATTAATATAATTGTACATAATAATTTATTACTGTGAACTGACACGGCTACTGCCCTATTGGGAGTAGACCTTAGGATAAGTAATAATATTAAGAAATAAATAATTGTACATAGAAATTATTTGCTATATTGACACGGCTACTGCCCTATTGGGAGTAGACCCTAGATTAAGTTATTCATTTTAAAAAAAAAAAATTTGAAAATAGCGTAGTACTTTTATTGAACCACTTTGATTTTAATAACTGACAAAACCTAATAGGCAAAATGTTGGGACTACGAACTCCACCCAAAAGCCAAACATCGGCGCCTGGCATAAGGCGAAGTATAGATAAATGGGAAGAGGCCTCCAGCCAGGGCCCGAGGGTGGCAAAAGAGGCTCCCCTGGCGGGGGCGGGTGGAGGAGGAAAGTCTCCTGCTCCCGCTCAAACCAGGGAAAAAGAAGCCAAAAATTGCTACCTTAAGGCAATTTCACATCTGGCGGAGTCCAGAAATATTAAAACGGACATAAAAACCGGGGTACAGACAGCCGTAAAACGGCTGTACCAACTAGTAAAGGAGGCCGAAGAGGAGTCACCGAAAAACCAAGACAAGCCAACACCAAAAGGGAAAAAAGAAATACTAAGCGATAAACTAGACAAACATTGAAAAGCTGGAAACGGAAAACAGAAAACTGGAGAAATGTAGGAAAGAAATAGAGGATTTGGCAATTAAGAAAAATGAAAGCATCCTGGCCGAGATTAGGAAAGAGTTTGACGAGAAGGAAAAGAGAGAAAAAGAAAGATATAACATCCTGAAAGCGAAAATGAAGTCGTACGCAGAAGCGACAAGGGAAAATCTCGGCCAGGACCAAAATAGGAAAGGAGGCCCGGGACATAAACCTACGCTGCACTCTGTCGTGGTGGAGCCGAAGAGTTCGACCGACACGGCAGAGGATACAATACAAAACATCCGTCACCTACTAAATGCGAAGGAGGAAGGATGGCAAGTTCAAAAAATAAGGAGAGCCAGAGACGGAAAAGTTGTAGTGGGCTGCAGGACGGAGGAAGAGAGGAGTAAACTTAAGGAAAAATTAGGAAGAGAAATGGAAGTAAAAGATGCGTCAAATAAAAACCCTCTTATAAAAATTAAAAATCTATTGTCCTGCAACACCACGGAAGATATCACCCGGGCCATCAGGAACCAAAACAAAAACGCGACTGCACACCTGGAGGAACAGGACCTGACCATAGTGGAAAAGTATAGAAGGAAAGCAAGAAACCCTCTGGAGAGCCACGTGGTCCTGCAGGTCGCGCCAAAACTTTGGCAATCATTAACATCGGCTGGTAGGATACACGTGGACCTGCAGCGGGTTTGGGTAGAGGACCAATCCCCTCTGGTCCAGTGCACTATGTGTCTGGGGTACGGACATACCCGCAGACATTGTAAAAAGGAGACCGAGGTGTGCAGTCATTGCGGAGGAGCCCATTTGAGGGCAGATTGCCAGATCCAAAAGGAAGGTAAACCTCCCAGCTGCGTTAACTGTATAGGAATAAAAGGAAGAGACGCGGAGCACGGAGCCTTCAGTCAGAGCTGTCCAACCCGGCAGGGGTGGGACAAGGCGGCGAGGCTAAGCTACGCGTATTGTTAAAAAAGCCGAGGGCACCAACAATATTACCGGCTTTCTCCTGGCACAAGCGAACCTTAGAAAAAAGAGAATCGCGATCCAGGAGTTTATAAAAGAAGCGGGCGGTAGAAACGTGAAAATAGCACTACTCCAGGAACCGTACATAGGGGCCAGTAAACAGATGGCAGAAAGCCCTATGTACAGAGTAGTGCAGTGGAGAGAAACCGGTGAAGGCGGCGATACTTGTTTTCGACGAACACATAGAAGTCTTTCAAGACAAGTCACTTATCACGGAAAACATAGTGGCTGCCGTCCTGAGAACGGACCAGTGGGAAATAGGGGTAATTTCAGTTTACTTCGAAGGCGATGAACCCATCGGACCATACCTCGAACAACTAGGAAGCGTCACGAAAAAACTTAAAACCAAGATGGTACTGATTGGAGGGGACGTGAACGCATGGAGTGAATGGTGGGGGAGCTGAAACGAAGAAACACGAGGAAGGGAATTACGAGGGTTCCTTGACGAAGAAGGGCTGAGCATCTTAAATTGTGGCAACACACCCACCTTCGACACCGTGAGAGGAGGCCGTAGATACACGAGTGCAGTGGACATCACAGAATGCACAACGGCCCTCCTCAGTAAGGTAACGAGATGGTGGGTTGATACTTCCATCACTAGCTCTGACCACAACACAATTTTTATGACTACAGCCCTTCAAAAACCCCAAACGCACAACCTACCGAAGACGACCCGCAAATACAATACGAAAAACGCAGACTGGGAGGAATTTAGAGACAAGATAAACATGGAATTGACACATCTAGGACTGGACATAGAAACAATAAAAGAAGTGGACACCAAGGCCAGGGTCAACAGCATAGTAATGGAATACACAAAAACAATAATAAAAGCCGCCGAGAAACATATCCCCAAAGTGAAACAAAGGAAGAAAAGCTTCGATCCACCCTGGTGGAACAAGGAAATAGAGGCCCTGAAGAAGGATATGACAAGAAAAAAGAAAAGGATCTCATACGCAGCTCCCAGGAGGAGAGAGTGCGTAGTAAATGCCTACCTGGAGGCAAAAAAGACCTACGAGGAAGAGATCGAAAGGGCTCAAAAGGAAGGGTGGAAAAAACTCTGCACGAAGCAAGAGGGGGAAAGCTTATGGGACAGGATATATAAAATAATAAGAAAGGCGGAAGGGATCAGGGAAGACACCACGCTAATAGAGAAGGGCATTTCGTTGAACTCCGAAGAATCGGTGCAGCTGCTGGCACGGAAATTCTTCCCGCCTGATAATTGCGAGATGGATGATGACATCCATCAAAGAATGACAGTGGGGTATCGATACTAGTTCCTCTCCCTTCCCCTCGATCTTACGCTTTTTCGATCAGCATCACGCGACCCTGACGCAAGTTTGAAAGTTTTTACCCATACAAAAAGTGCTCAGCGCCGCTAAAGAAGTTTTCACTTCAAAAAATAAAGAAGTATCAACTATGTTTTTAGGCATAACACTTGACTAAAATCACATTTTATCGATATGTACGCGCCTTAATAAATTTGTGTTTGCTTTGAGACGAACTAAAAGTGGCTTCAATACAAGCAGCAATTATTGTTAATCACGGCTATATTGCCTCAGTCCTGTGCTAAGGTATATTTTTATGGGGAAATTCAAAAGTAGTTGATAAAGTTTTTATTACTCAGAAGAAAAGTATTAGGGCTATTAAGGCCGTTGGACTTCTTGTAAGCTGTAGATCAATTCTTTACAAGATCATTTCTTTAACTTGGTATTTGACAGTACCAAGTTTATATAGCAGCCCTGAAGCAGTTATGACTGCATCTAAATATATAAATAAGCATCAAAAATTGTTCAAAACATTTAAAGACCCCCCCTTTTATGACCCCTCGGCATATACAGGCAAGTTGCCTGTATATGCCGAGGGGTCCAACATGGCCGTGGGTATGCATATTGCAACACGATGTATTCAAAAAATTGTGACGCTATCAAACCGTTATCAGTGCATGAAGGGTAAGTTACAAGAGAACTATTAAGCAATTGTTTTACACCATAATTTGTGAGCAATGAATACAGTGATATTTACAGTGATTAGGCCGTGATCGATCAATTTGTTAACCGCCATACCGCCTTGGACATTCCTCGTTTGGTTGTGGATAAATATCAGTATAATCGATGCATAAAACTGAAATAGTACAGTAAAGTGACTTTTATTAGTTACTTGTGGTCATCAAGTACTTTAAAGTATAACATACATAATATTTTCGATAAATCGGATTACAAATAAATAGTTGGTTAGTACTTAGCAAGTTGTTGAGAGCATAGTGCACCTTGTTGCTGTGGATTGAACCTTGATGCACACATAACAACAAACCGAATATTACGTCTTATAACATAAATTTTCTTTTTCTTTTTTTATCAATTTACACTTGAATAATCATAGCTATATTTTATAATGCCTAAGTGTATTGCTTGCTCCAGGGACCTTGATATAAGCAAGCAAATCAGATGTACGAAATGCTTTAGAGAAATGATTTAGTCACAATAAGTTTTCGAATATAACGTCTGATGTAGTAACCGATTCATGGACGTGTCCACCTTGTTTACGTAGAGAACATCGCGGTCAGAGTACCTCTTCTGACGAAGTTCAGGCAGCAACGACACGACGCAATAAAAAAGATACAGGGCTTTGTGACCGCTGCGTATCGAAGGGCGATTTGCAAAAGTAAATCACTGAGGGTATTAACCAGGCTATAGATTCCAAACTTGATCACTTCGAATCTCCGAAAATGTCTCTCTTTGTCGAGATAAGGGAAGAGATCAATTCTTTCATCAACCCCTTCTTGAAGGAAACTGGGTGTCTAAGAGAGGAAGTAAATAAATTGAAAAATGATATTCAAAATAATAATTCTATTATAGACGAACTACGATGCCAAATAAATAAGCAACAACGGTGAAATAGAATGAACAACTTAGAGATTGTTGGGCTGCCACAAACCAAGAATGAATCTACACGCGCCTTAGTAAAAACAATAGCAAAACATGAAGACGTAGTATTGCGGGATGATGAGATCGAATTTGCTAACCGCATACAGCCGAAGCAATCTATGCCAGGCACAGCTAAAACAATCTTGGTGCGCCTGAAAACACGCGAAATAAAAGACAAAATATTATCTGACTTACGTAAAAAACGGGGAATCCATACATCTGATATAGGAATGTCAGGGGATTCGAAAAGATTCTATGTAAATGAGCATTTGACCCCAGATAATAAGCATCTTCTTAAGGAGTCGGAAGCGCTGGCAATCGATAAAGGTTTTAAATACGTATGGGTTCATAACTGTAGATTTTTTTACGCCGAAACGAAGAGTACCCTGCTATAACCAGAATTTGGCAAAAATAATTTGATAAACCTACTTTTATTTATTAATCGTATATATCAAAAAAAATCATTGGAGAGTAGTTGTGTATTTCATAGTAGATCTAAGATAATATTTCCTTTGTTTTTGCCTCTTTAAATTACTACACGTGATTTTCTGGTTCCATATGGGCCAATATTTTGTGATGATATTAACGATACATAAGTTCACTATTAATCTTAGTATTATAGACTACTTAAACTGTTCATTTCAAAACCTAAGATTGCATTGTTAATTGAAATATAATTATATCACCTTAATAACAAAGCCAGATAACAAATTTATATTAAAAGTCTACACTAAAGTTGATACAATCTCTAGGTATTTCAATGTTTGACAAAAGTTTAACTTTATTTTATCAAAACGTTCGTGGCTTGCGTACAAAATCCAACGAATTTTATCAAAATCTTCTTACTTGTATTTTCGATGTTATTAATTTTTTTTCTTTATTTTACAAAATAATATAATACAATCATAATAATTAGAAAACCGCTGTGGTTTGTATTAATGCAGTAACCATAGCAGTTATTCGATCACTTATGGTTCAATTCTCAATAACTATCACAATAATATTAAATTTAAAAATAAACACGTCTTCTCTCTTCACTTGATTTATTGCAACTTAATGACTAAACATGCCGCTCACCAAGACATATTGTTTTTAACTTCAAGCTTTACATTATAATATGATAGTGGACATAAACTTCTTACTTAACTTTATACAAAAAAAATAACAATGCTTTAACTTTATATAAAAATAAAATGTTAAAATTCCTTTCGAATAGTGGACTGTATTAATAAAAATCATGCAAACTATATTATATCCTTCTCCTTGGGTAACATCAAACTTTGATACTGGTCTCTTCAATGTGTTGTTACCTTTACATCTTAAGGTAACCACTCTTACCAAGCCATCACTTCCGGGGTGGACTTCTTTAACGCAACCTAATAGCCATTTAGTAGGTGGTAAGTCGTCCTCTTTAATAATGACAATATCTCCAATATTTGGGGCTGAAATATTGTTTTGCCATTTATATCTTTGCTGCATGGTATTGAGATACTCGGTCTTCCATCTTTTCCAAAAATCTTGAATCATCTTTTGTATCTTATACCATCCAGCAACAAAACCAATCTTCTGGTCATCGTAATTAACATCAGGAATGCTTAATGCAGGGGTTCCCCTACTAGGAAATGACCCGGAGTTAGTGGCGTGAGGGTTTCAAAGGTCTCATCAATTTGACATATGGGGCGGGAATTTAAACATGCTTCTATTTGTGCTAGTAACGTAGAAAGCTCTTCATAAGTTAATTTAGCATTTCCATTAATTCTTAATAAATGTATTTTTGCTGATTTTACTCCAGCTTCCCATAAACCGCCATAATTAGGCATTCTTGGTGGAATAAAGTGCCAAGTTGTTCCGTCATTGGATAACAGTTCAGCTACTTCTTGTGTTATATTAGTTTTACTTATCCGAAATAAATCTTTAAGTTCTTTGGATGCACCAACGAAGTTAGTGGCGTTATCACTCCATATTTCAGAACAAAATCCTCTTCTAGCTACGAATCTACGAAACGCAGCAATAAACGCTTTTGATGTTAAATATGTTACAGCTTCTAAATGAATTGCACGGGTTGTCATACAAACAAATAGGCAGATATATCCTTTTGTAGCATGGTGACCTCGACCTTTAGATGATTTAATTAAAATAGGGCCTGCATAGTCCACACCAGATTTAAGAAATGCTCTGTGTGGATTCACTCTAACTTTGATCAGCACCAAGTTGCAAGTTCGTTTTGCAGATTGTCGGCGATTCATGGGGGCTCTTTGATTATTGTTAATAAAAATTTAAAGTATAAAGAGCGTAATGACATCGTGTGTCTGTCTGTAGAACAGTCTTTGGAAGTAGCCTGTATAGAGATTGAGAATTGCATTATTTTAAGTGTTTACAGACCACCAAGTGCATCTTACGATTTTTTTGAAGAAAAGTTGGAGGAAATTTTGTGTAAAGTTAGTTTTAAGAACAATAAGTATATTATTGTATGTGGTGACTTCAATATAAATTTATTAGAAAATACCTCCATTAGTAAAAAATTCAATCTGTTATTAAAATCTTACAATCTTGTTAACTTGTTTCTTGAGCCCACTAGAATTACAAGCTCCACTGCTACATGTATAGATAATGTATTTACAGATGCAGAGGCAATGCAAACCTCAATTACAACTGATCTTAGCTCAGATCATTGTGGACAGTTAGTGGCGCTAAAATGTAAAGTGGTGAAACAAGTAAATAAGAGCAGTGTGTTTGTTCCAGTGAATAAAAAGCGAATGGTGAGATTTAGACATAATATAGGTAAACGCCTACCTTTATTACCGGTAGGTACTACCGTTGATACACAATACAACAATCTAAGTGATTGTATTAATAAAGAGTTCAACACCATCTTTACCCCAAAGAAAGTCTCTCATTCGCAGTGTAAATCGTTTAGTGATTGGGCGACAGCGGGAATTTATAAAAGTAGACAACGGTTGTATGACCTTTACGCTGAAAAGTCATACAATCATAATGAAGAATTTATTCTTTATGTTCGAAATTATTCGAAATTATTTAAGAAAGTTTGTTACGCGGCCAAGTCCTTAAATATCAAAAACAAGATTAAAAATAGTACCAATAAAACTAAAATGACTTGGAAGATAATTGATAGTGAAACTGGAAGAGTCAGGGATCGCAATCAAGACATCGAACTATGTGTCGATAACACTATAATCAAATCTAACGAAGAGATAGCGATTGTTTTTGATAAGTACTTTTCTGACATTCCAATTTCGACTACTAAGTCTCTTCAATCATCTCCCGCCCTCGCCGAATCGCTGCTCAAAGATAATGTAAACGAGTGCAAGGTCAGTTTTTCATTCCGACCCATTGGTGCCGACGATATAGTGAGGATATTTAGAACCATAGATATTAAGAACACTACCGATCTTTGGGGTATTTCTGTAAAAATAATTAGTAGCATAATTGATGTAATTGCTCCCCATCTAGCTATAATTTTCAACAATTGTATTAAAAGTGGCGAGTTTCCCGATCTAATGAAACATAGTAAAGTTATTCCTTTATTTAAAGCAGGTAGTATGTCCGACCCCAGTAACTTTAGACCAATTTCCGTACTACCTACTTGTAGTAAAATATTTGAAAAAATTATATTAAATCAACTGGTAAGTCATTTTAACGTAAACAAATTATTACATAATAATCAGTTCGGTTTTACCAAGGGTCGCTCGACAGCCGATGCCGGTGTTGAGTTATATAGATATATAGTTAAGGCTTGGGAGGAGTCGCATGACGCTTTAGGTGTTTTCTGCGACTTATCCAAAGCATTTGATTGTGTCCAACACGAGACCTTAATCGGGAAACTCCGCCACTATGGCATCAAGAATACCGCACTGAATCTTCTGACTTCCTATTTACACGGAAGAACTCAGAAGGTTGAAGTGAATGGTAAGAGGTCCTCTGGGTCGGCAGTAGATATGGGGGTACCACAGGGCTCAATTCTTGGCCCTTTCCTCTTTCTTGTTTATATAAATGATCTACCTTTCATGGTAGAGAGAAAACAGCAGATAGTTTGGTTTGCTGATGACACGTCCTTGATTTTTAAAATCAAACGACAAATAACAAATTTTGACGATGTGAACAATGCTCTGTCTTCGATTGTCCATTGGTTTAGTATGAATAACCTACTGCAAAAAAGACAAAATGCATTAAATTTTGTGCAAAAAATGCAAGGGTTATGGATACTAGACCAATTATAAACGGTGAGGAATTGAATCTGGATGATACAACTGTATTTCTCGGAATCACCATGGATTCAAAACTTCAGTGGTCCCCTCATATTAATGGATTGGCGAAGAGACTTAGTTCTGCAGCCTACGCGGTTAAAAAAATTCGCTCACTAACTGATGTCGATACAGCTAGACTTGTTTATTTTAGTTACTTTCATAGCTTAATGACTTATGGCTTATTATTATGGGGTCATGCTGCTGATGTCGAAACTATTTTCATCCTGCAGAAGAGGGCTATTCGTGCAATCTATAATTTAAAATGTAGGGAATCTCTTAGAGATAAATTCAAGGAAATTAATATACTTACCTTTCCCTCGCAATATATTTATGAAAATATTATGTATGTATACAAAAATAGTGATAAGTTTACTAAAATAGAACATACGCACAATGTTAATACACGGAACAAACGCAGGCTGCAATTTCCCCGTACTAGACTATCTAAAGTTAGTAATTCTTTTTTTGGGGAAAGGGATACTCTTCTTTAATAAAATCCCAGAGGCTCTTTTATCACTGCCTTTCAATAAATTTAAGAAATGTATTAAAGAAAAGCTGTGTAAAAAGGCTTACTATAAAGTCAACGATTATCTAGTTGATAAAAGGGCCTGGGACTAGTGCTAGACAGGCTACTTCTAATCAATTTGCGATATTTGTTTTAAATAAGTGTTGTTTGATGATTTGCTGTTTTAAAAGAGTACCGAGAGTTTTTTACGCCGGCTTTTTCTCTCGGCCTACACCCTCTGTCTTCTTTGCCGATGAGTAGGGATGCCTTCAAATTTAATGACGTGGAATAAGTGATACATGTATCTTATGTTCCATAATAAACATATTTTATTTTTTATTTTTTTTTATTTATGCAGGAAGCTGTCCCATTCTTTGCGTCTGTCCCTTAGCCTTACTTATTATACAAACCTTGCAATTTCTAATGCACCATTTAATAGCATTCTTCATGCCTACAATCCAAAATCTACTTCGAATGTAAGCCTTCATTATTTGGATACCACCATGTAAAGTCTTTATATGTGCATCTTGAACAATTAATTTTGTAATGTGCACTTGTTGAGATAAAATGATTGGATGTTGAGTAGCTTCAGAAATTTCTGCATTCTGTAGTCTTCCTCCTACTC